AAAAAAAAAAAAAAAAAAAAAAAAGCTGGGGGTACCGTGACTAGACTAGGGCTGTGTAAAGACCCATCCATGGAGAAAAGGAAGGGCTGCCCATCAGGGCTGCACCTCACCCCTCCACCAAGTAGGACGACATTACTGGGGCAGACCTTCCGGAAGCACACTCTCTCCCTAAACCTGAGCCCAGTAGCAATTCACTTTTCCATTTTCCTGATGAGGAAACCGAGGCTCAGGGCAGCCCTGGGAACTGAGGGCCGGGAACATGGCCCTAGCAGTTCCCTGGCAGCACTCACACCGCCCCCCGCCACCCCCAGAGCAAGGTGCACCCACTGGCCTGCAGCCACCTGGTGGGAAGGATCCATGGCCTCCGCCTTGGGGGATTCTTGGCCACATGGGCGGCCCTGGGGAGAGATTCTTGGCTATGGGAGCAGGGCCCAGAAGGCCAGAGGCGCACTGTCCACAATCAGCTTGCCAGGGACAGAATGTGCTCAGGCCTTTTGGCCACTGTGGTTACATAATGGTGGTGACAAGTGGGGGAAGGGGGGCTTAGGGACAAGTAGATGATCCAATCTTCCTTCACCTCCACCAGGGATCTGGCCCCAAAGGACCGCAATGGCGCATCTGATCCCTTCGTCCGAGTGCGCTACAAGGGCCGGACACAGGAGACCTCGGTGAGGAGGCCAGAGGGCAGGGAAGGGGCAGGAGGCTCAGGGGACCTGCCAGCCGTGCCCCCATTGCTCACCTCACCATCTGCTCACCGTCGCCTGGGGGGACAGATTGGGGGCCACAGTCTTACAGAGGAGGCCCAGAGAAGGGGGCAACCTCTCTAGGGGACATAATAGGTCCCAGCCCCTCTGGGGCCAACTCCGCTCACTCCTGGCCATGCTTGGGGGTAAGGAGGGGATTGAGACAGCCCGAGTGGGGTTTATCTGAGAACACCCATGCTGCCTTCCCCACCCCCAGGAAACGTCCAGGGTTGGGGGGACCCAGTCCTGAGCAGGAAGGCACCAAGGTCTGGTTTCTTTGTGTAGTCGCTACTGTTTTTGTTTTGTGTTTGTGGGTTTTTTTTGAGGCCAAGTCCCGCCCTGTCACCCAGGCTGGATGGACAGTGGCTAGATCTCAGCTCACTGCAGGCTCCGCCTTCCCAGTTCAAGGGATTCTCTTGCCTTAGCCACTGGAGTAGCTGGGATTACAGGCACACGCTACCACACCAGGCTAATTTCTTGTATTTAGTAGAGGTGGGGTTTCACCATGTTGGCGAGGCTAGTCTCGAACTCCTGGCCTCAAGTGATCCTCCTACCTTGGCTTCCCAAAGTGCTGGGATTACAGGCATGAGCCACCATGTCCAGCCCTGTGTGTGTGTATTTTTAAAAATATTTTATTTCCATAGGTTATTGGGGAACAGGTGGTGTTTGGTTACATACGTTCTTTAGGGGTGATTTGTGAGATTTTGGTGCACCCATCACCGAGCAGTATACACTGCACCCAATTTGTAGTCTTTTATCCCTCACCTCCTTCCCACCCTTCCCCCCATCGAGTCACCAAAGTCCATTGTGTCATTCTTATTATGCCTTTGCGTCCTCATAGCTTAGCTCCCACATAGGAGTGAGAACATACGATGTTTGGTTTCCCTTTCCTGAGTTACTACACTTAGAATAATAGCCTCTAATCCAATCCAGGTTGCTGTGAATGCCATTAATTCATTCCTTTTTTATGGCTGAGTAGTATTCCATCTTATATATACATACCACAGTTTCTTTATCCACTTGTTGATTGATGGACATTTGGGCTGGTTTCACATTTTCACAATTGCGAAGTGTGCTGCTATAAACATGCATGTGCAAGTATCTTGGCCAGGTGCAGTGGCTCACGCCTGTAATCCCAGCACTTTGGGAGGCCAAGGCTGGCAGATTGCTTGAGGCCAGGAGTTCAAGACCAGCCTGGCCAACATGGTAAAACCCCGTCTCTACTAAAAATACAAAAATTAGCCGGGCGTGGTGGTGGGCCCCTGAAATCCCAGCTTCTTGGGAGGCTGAGGTAGGAGAATCGCTTGAACCCGGAAGGCGGAGATTGCAGTGAGCTGAGATCGCACCACTGCACTCCAGCCTGAGGGACAGAGTGAGACTCTGTCTCAAAAACAAAACAAAACAAACAAACAAACAAAAAACATGTGTGTGCAAGTATCTTTTTTGTGTAATGACTTCACCTGTGGGTAGATACCCAGTAGTGGGATTGCTGAATCAAATGGTAGTTCTACTTTTAGTTAGTTAAGGAATCCCACTGTTTTCCATAGCGGTTGTACTAGTTCACATTCCCACCAGCAGAGTAGTACTGTTTTGCTGTGTGGCCTTGGATACGTCTCTTCCCCACCCTGGGCCTCAATTCTCCCCATCTGATAAATGGGTGGGAGCTTGGACAGGACGTCTTAACCTCTGCTGTGGCAGAGCCTCCAAGGCAAGGAGGCTGTGGGGAACCCAGGGGAGGTGTCTGGGGCAGCTCTGCCTTTTGCCCATCCTGGGGAGTCCAGCGGCATCAGCCTAACCCCCACCCACCCTCTTCTGGCCAGATCGTGAAGAAGTCATGCTACCCACGCTGGAATGAGACGTTTGAGTTTGAGCTGGAGGAGGGGGCCACGGAGGTGCTGTGCGTGGAGACCTGGGACTGGGACCTTGTCAGCCGAAACGACTTCCTGGGCAAAGTAAGCACCACCCCCAACCACTTCCTCCAGGCTGCACCTGCTGTCCTCTAGCACCTGGCTCCATTGCAGCCATCCCACCCTCAGGGACCTCCCTCCAGCTTCCCCAAAGAGGGACACTCAGGAAGCCTGGGACTACCCCCCACTGTCTGCCAGAACCAGCAACTTCCCCCCACCGCCACTGGCACTAAGGGACCCTTGGAAGGGGCCCCTCCCCACTAAGAATAGTAGTTGGCAAGGAGGAGACCTAAGCCTCCCAGCTCCAGGAAGACTGCCGCTATGTCCCCAGGTGGTGATCGACATCCAGAGACTGCAGGTGGCCCAGCCGGAGGAGGGCTGGTTCCGGCTGCAGCCTGACCAGACGAAGAGCCGGCGGCATGATGAGTAAGTGCGTGGGGCTGCGCAGCCGGCCTCAAGGGGTGGGGTGGGGGCTGAGATTTGGGAATTGGCTACAGGCAGGCAGGGCAGGGGTCTGCTCGGGGTGAGAGGTCAGGAGACACAGCTCCAGGGCCCCCTCAGCCCCTGCCCACCAGGCCAGCATCCTTCTCATCCAGGCTGGGCTCCACCTCCCACCCCCTTTTTTTTTTCCCCCACAGTCCCCCACTCAGCTCAGCTCCTTTTTTTTTTTTTTTTTTTTTGAGATGGAGTCTTGCTCTGTTGCCCAGGCTGGAGTGCAGTGACATAATCTTGGCTCACTGCAACCTCCACCTCCCGGGTTCCAGTGATTCTCCTGACTCAGCCTCCCGATTAACTGAGATTATAGCTGTGCCAATATCCTGGCCAAGGGTGTCCCATCTTTTATCTGGCAACCCTATTCCTTGAGAATCTTTCAGAGGGAGTTGGAGCTATGGCTCAGGGACACTGACTCTGGAGACTTGAACCCTGCTCTGAGGTCTGTAGGGAAATTTTCAAAGGGGAATTGTCTGAGCACTTGTTTTAGAAACTTCCAGAAGGCAGAAAGCAGGAGACCTGTACAACCTGTGAGCTAAGAAGACAGAGTTGGCCAGGTGCGGTGGCTCATGCCTGTAATCCCAGCACTTTGGGAGGTCAAGGCAGGTGGATCACCTGAGGTCAGGAGTTTGAGACCAGCCTGGCCAACATGGTGAAACCCCATCTCTACTAAAAATACAAAAATTAGCTAGG